GGTCTCTTTGCGTTCTTGAGTCCGCAGAACTTTTCCGGCGCTCTGGAGAGCTCCAAGGTTGCCCACGAGGGTCCCAATTTCCACCCAACTTGGCTCCAGAGGGCCCTGGGAGGCCCACAAGATGGCTCCGGGAGGCTTCTGCAGGAGGCCGAGGTGGCCCAAGTGAGCCCCGTGCCCAGGCAGTCTCAACCAGGCTCCAAGCTTGCCTCTGGGGAATCTCTCACCTCTCACGCGCTCGCTCTCGCTCTCTGAGGCCGCGCTGCACCTCGCGAGCTTGCCTGTCGCAGGTCGGCTCGTGGGCTGCACCTGGTCTGTCTGGCGACTCTTTGAGCCGCAAAGGGATTGAGACTGTGCAGCGTGGAGCTCAGCTGATTGTAAGACAAAACAGGTTCTCAGAGTGCCTCGCTGGTGTCCAGGCGTGGGCTCCGGGGATAGCCCTGCACCTGCACCCAAGATTCGGAGGACGAGGAGGAGGAGGAGGAGGAGGAGGAGGAGGAGGAGGAGGAGGAGGAGGAGGAGGAGGAGGAGGAGCAGGAGGAGGAGGAGGAGGAGGAAGACACGAGCACGCGGGGTGGAACGAACGACGAGGCGACGGGGGAGAGGACACCTGGGGCTGCCAGGGCGGCGATGGTCGACGCCCCTCGCTGACCTCTCGCACCCGTGCGCCGGCATCCCAGCCGCGGCCAGTTTCGCCTCAATCCCATGTGTTTTTGGTGCGCTTAGCAGCGGCAGCGACAGGGGGTGATGGGCATGCAGGGTGATGCATCGACCCCCGATCGCCCATTGATCGCCGTTAGGGGTCTGGCCACACCCCGCCCAGGAGGGTGCGGATTCGCTATGGGGGTTATATCATCGATCTATCTGCGATGTATTGCCGATTCCAGGTCGATGTTCCACCCCTATGCCAGTCCTCCCCTATCGTTGCCCCTGAGCTTAGTCCCCTCCTGAAGGCGGGAGAGGGAGTTCATCAGTGTCTTTGGGTAGCACTCCATGCCGTGGGGCCGATCGTGTGATCGAGCGGCATTCCTTAGCGTGGGTACCACTCCTCAGCGTGGGGCCTTGGCGTGCAGGAGCAACAACTTTTGCAGCTCCACGCAGATTTCTTGGATCGGCGCTGGCGCTGGAAGCGCCGCGAGGCTGCAAGGGGGTCCCAGCGCCGATCCAAGAAGTCTGCACGGAGCTCCGAAAGTTCATGTCTGTGCTGTCCTTTGCCCCCCTACCACAACATCAGGGGCAACGCTGGGGGGGATAGGCTCAGGGTCGAGTGCATCGACACCACTCGTCCACCCAGTGATCGCCGGTGGGGGCCCCAATAGCCCACGCCGCTCTGGCACCCGCGGCTTCGCCATTGGGGGCCTGACGCCGATCTATCGGCGACGCATCGCCGATTCCGGCGCGATGCTTCCCCTGGAGCCCGTCCGCTCCTGTCGCTGGCCCTCAAATCAGCGACCACCACTTGCACGCGACCTGGCATCTGCAGGGCGCGCCCCCGGGCACGAGGAGGAGGAGGAGGAGGAGGAGAAGGAGAGGAGGAGGAGGAGGAGGAGAGGAGGAGGAGAGGAGGAGGAGGAGGAGGGAGGGAGGAGGAGGAGGCGGAGGCGGAGGCGGAGGAGGAGGAGAGGAGGAGGAGGAGGAGAAGGAGGAGGAGGAGGAGGAGGAGGACGAGGAGGAGGGGCAGGAGGAGGAGGAGGACGATCATAGTAGTAATATTAGGAATAATAAGACGAATAATACAACTATTAATAACAATGCTATTCATCACATTAAGAACAAGAGTTTCTCGAATCCTAAATAAGAGGAGCATATGCGTACTAATACTGGTAACTGTGAAGACAAACACGAATAATAACAAAAATAATAATCATGCGACTACGAAGCGTGTTAGTCAACATAATAATCATAAGAATATGAATGCTAACAATACTAATAATCATAACCATACCAAGAAGACGAATGACACGACTAATATTAATAAAAGGAATAATGATAATAATAATGATGATACCTATACGACCACCCTTCGGGCGATAAGGAGGTTGTGGGGGGGAGAGGGGGGGAACCAACATCTGACTCAATCGATCTCACTATCGATCTCACTCAACGGGACACCACGTGACACCACGGGACACCACGGGAAACCACGGGACACCACGGGACATTTGTCGATCTCACTATCGATCACACTATCGATCTCACTCAACGGGACACCACGGGACACCACGGGCCACCATGGGACACCACGGGACACCGCGGGACACCTCTCGATCTCACTATCGGTCTCACTATCGATCTCGCTATCGATCTCGCTATCGATCTCACTCAACGGGACATCATAGGACACCACGGGACACCACGGATCACCACGGGACACCTCGGGACACCACATCGATCTCACTATCGATCTCACCATCGATCTCACTCAACAGGACACCACGGGACACCACAGGACACCACGGGACACCTCGGGGCACCACATCGATCACAGTATCGATCTCACTATCGATCTCACTCAATGGGACACCACGGGACACCACGGGACACCACGGGACATCCCGGGACACCACGGGACACCTGTCGATCTCATTATCGATCTCATTCAACAGGACACCATAGGACACCACGGGACACCTCGGGGCACCACATCGATCTCAGTACCGATCTCACTATCGGAGTTCTTTGAACGGGCATCCTGAGTAAATGCGAGAGGGTCTCCGCCATCGGTCAATTCGGGTGAGCCGCATCCGTACCGATGCCTCCCGTGCCCAAGTCGCCCAAGGATCTGGTCCTGGTCTGAGCCTTGTTCAGAGGGCTGTCCCATCTCACCTTCCATGCACGGCGAACGCTTCAAAAGTCAGCCACGGACAACACACCGACCCAGTAAGCATCCCACACCAGCGCGCAAGCAACGACGGACAGAGCTGCCGCCCAAGTGCGATCGCCCGCTCAGCGCAGGCACGCATTCAGCACACGAAGACGAGTGCCTAGAATTGTCATCAAGTCCATAGTAGTGGCTCCGAGGTTGGCGGGTAGCCTGGCACCTATCTTTTGAAGCCAGGTAATTTCGGTGTTCATAGTGCTCACCAGCTCGGATTTGCCATCGTGCCCTCCGTGCCCGTCGCTGCAGTGCCCGTGCGGGGCCCGCGGCTCGCTCCCTGCTCGCCTGGGGGTGCCCGTCGAGCCAGCGGGCCCCGCTGCCCGGGGAGGCCACCGCCGACGCTGCCGGGCTCGCTCGCGCCGGCGCTGGAGGGCGATGCGACGGCCGCGGGCTCTGAGAGCCTGGCGGGCACCGAGCTGTGCCCGGGGACGCGCCGGCGGAGGGCGGCGCTCCCAGGCGAGGGCGCGCGGGGGCGCCCTGCGGGGCATGGCCGACCGGAGGCTGGTCGCTGCAGGACCTCGCGGGCGACCTGCATCACGAGCGGCTGTTGTCGGGGGCCACGTGCGAACCCTACCCCTAACCCCCCACGATTTCTGAAGGGGAGGGTGGGGTTCAATTCGTTCGGGAGCTCCCGAGCGAAGTGAACCCCACCCTCCCCTTCAGAAATCGTTGGGGTAGGGGTAGGGTTCGCATGTGGCCCCCTATGTTGTGCTATGCCGGGGGCCGCCTGAGCCACCCCGGGGCGGCGGCAGACGCCGGCTCCGGCGTCTACGGCGAGATCTGCACGGGCCACGGGGCGTTCTCGGAGGTGGCCGACCCCGCGAGGGTCGCGGCGCCGCGGGAGGGCATTCCGCCCGGCAGAGGCTTGGGGCCTCCTCGACGGGAGGCGCAGGACGGGTGACGCCGCGCCGTTGCTCACTCAGAGGGCAGGCGGCGCGGACCCCAGCTACCCCAGATTTCGTAATAAAAGGGAGGGGGTCTGGACCCTCCAAGACAAGCCATTTCAGACCTCCCCCGTGGGAGAACCCTCCAAAACATCGCCCCCAGACCCCCCAGGCCCTCCAAGATAGCCTGGAAGAGCCCCCCCCGAAATGAGACCCCCCTCCCTTTATTACGAAATCTGGAGTACCGCGCCGCGGAGCTAACGGCCCAGGCCAAGGGATTGGTCTATCGCGCTCGGCGGGCTCTGCGGCCGCGGGCGGGCGACGACGTGTGGCTGGTGACGCAGCTGTGCCTGCTGGCCGGGCGCTCGGCCGTGGGGCGCACGCGCGTCGCGTCCTCGGAGAAGGGCGCGCTGAAGGTGAAGCTCGGAGTCTTGATGACGCTCAGGTCTATTCCCTTTTAGTGTCGTCGTGGGGAGAATAGTGGCCGTGTGGGCCTCGTACCCACCTCTTCGTGCTGTCCCTTGTCGCCAGGCACGTCCAGAACCCAGAGCAGCGCCCCGCGACGCTACTGGCCGACAAGCCGCGGCGGCCAACCGACGCGGGTCTGGACGAGCACGCGGTGATGATGAAGATGCTCCTCGCGCGGGCTGAGAGCGAACGTCCATGCGCTCCCGAGCTCGCGGGGACGGAGTGCGAGTGGAGGCGCGCGCAGCTGATCGAGCCCATGCACGAGGAGAAGGTCGGGCGGACACGGCCGCAGCCTTGACCGAAGGACTCCCTCGTGGGCCCTCTCGACGACGCTCACTCGTGCCTCGGCTGGCTTGCGGGGTGCGGCTCGCTGCCTTTGTCGCCGGTGCTGGCGGCGGCCGGGACCTACGAGTAGCAGGCTTTGAAGGAAGAACGCCAAGCCCCTGAAGAGCGAAGAGCAGAAGGCTCTCGAAGGCAGGAAGGGCTAGTACCTTGGGCTCGGCGGTGGGACCTGGCCGCCCTGTCGCCGTATTTGGCCAGCCCTTCCGCTCTTCAACGTGGAGTCTGGCGGGGTCCCAGGCGGGCCGTCGCGGGAGCTGCTCCCGTGCCCGCTGCCTTTTCGCCCAGACATGGGCCCTGTCGGTGCTACTGGATGCCGTGCAGTCAGAAGAAGGGCGGCCGCCAGACAGCACTGGCAGTCATTGTGCAATCGAGGCGCTGCTGCACTCAACGAGCTTTTTGGTCACCCTGCACCAGCTGGCGGTGTCGACTCGATGCCTCTCTCGGCCGGGCAGCTGTCTTGCCTGGAGGTGCTGAAGGACGCCTACAGGGCCGTCGGCCCGCCGCCCGCTGGGCTTGGTGATGCCGCGAGAGCCTTCAGGGAACTCTGCGGCGCCCGCGTCGGCTATGCCTTCGAAGCCGAAGCCGCGGGCCTTCCATCTCCGTGCCGTGCGGGTTCCGTCCCGCTGCCTCCGGTCTCTTCTAAGCCCGTGGAGCTCTCCAAAGTGCTCGACGGCCAGGAGCTCGAGATGTGAGCGGAGTGGAGATCTCGTCTGCGATGAAGGCAGCGGAGCATCCACTGGCGACGGTTTTGGCACTCCCTCCGTCTATTCGGACCCAGCGCTGGTGAGGTGCCCTGCCGTGTACGGCGAGTTCTTGGGAGACCGTGTTTTTCGTGAGCAAGGGCGCTTCGCTTCGAATGATCTCGGACAGTCGTGCTGCTAATGACCTCGTCCGCCCGCCTGTGAAAACCGTCCTCCCGACCAGCGGATCTTGGGGTCGCGTGGAGGTGGAGGACGAAGAGCCTTTGCAGGTGGCTCAATGTGATGTGCAGGCCAACTTCTATCGTATTGCCCTTGGCGCTGGGATGAGTGAGCTTTTTGTGTTGCCAGAGGCGCGCGCTTCGTGCGTCCCCGGACGTTCGCCCGAAGAGTGCGCCCGCATTGGCCCCGCTTGCTCTCCTCACCTCCTCGCCCTCCCCATGGGCTGGTCTTGGGCGTTGTTTTTTTCAGTCAGCCTGCCGTCTCGGTCGGGATGAAGCGAATAGGTTTGCGTTGGGTTGATGAGGCCTCAGACAGATGGGCCCCGCAAGTTTTTGATGGCACCTCTGTGGAACGCGCCGTGTATATTGATAACTTTGCTGTTGTCTCGATCGATGTGTCGGAGGCCACTTCTCGCATTCAGTAGGCCCGAAGCGTTCTCGAGGACGTGGGGCTTGCTTGTCATGAGGTCTCAAGCGGTAGTCAGACCTCTGCGTTCACGGGGCTCTTGTTTGACGGAGACGCGCGAGTGATTCGGGTCAGCTCTAGGAGAACGTGGCAGCTTCGTCTCGCTCTGGATTTCGTCTTGGGCGCTGGGCGGGCTAGCAGAAACGAGATCCGAAAGCTGATGGGGCATTTCACCTGGGCCAGTCTTCTCCGACGGGAAGCGCTGTCTACCGTGGATGCCGGCAATTACTTTGCCGAGAGTCATACAACAGAGGTCGTTTCCTCGTGGCCGGCCGTTGCGGGGGAGCTTTGCTCCTCCTTCTCTCACGCAGCGCTCGCGCGACCTGGAGTGACTTTGTGCGCGTCAGCGACGCGTCGACGGAGGGCTCTGGGGTGTGTTGCACTCGCTGGGGGCGGGGCGATGCGGCTCTGATCGGGCGATGTGACGAGAGGTGGGGTTCAGGGCAGAGGAGGCGGTTTGCGCGCGTGAGCGCGCCCTTCGCCCTGATGTTCTCGGGCTCGGCCTGGGTGATCTTCGCTGTCGCCCCGCCTTTCGCTGCGCTGCTGGCGCTCAACCTTGGGGGGGGGTCGGCTGCTCGACGAGGTTCCAGCTTCGGCAGTGGCTGTTTCGGGCTGGAAGGTCTGTACCTGCGGGGGGTGGCGCGAGGAGGGCGAGATTATGAGGGTGGAGGGTCGGGCTGTCGTCATGGCTGTTCGTCGCTTGCTTCGGGCTCGGGCACGCCGTCGGCGGCGCGCGCTCTGTCTCGTGGACAATCTGGCTCTAGCCCTGGCCGTCGCCACGGGGCGTGCGAGATCTCGTCGTCTTCTGCCCGCCTGCAGGGAGCTCGCGGCGCCTAGTCTACGGGCGGCCGCCGGTTCCATGTGCGGCGGGTGCCGAGTGAGCTGGGCCCTGCCGATGCACCGTCGCGAGGGCGGCCGGCACCCGGCCGCGTTGACTCCGACAGACTCGCCAGCGCTGACCAGCAGATGCTCGGGCGGAGGGGCGAGCGGAGAGTCGCGTGCCAGCAGCTGCGCGACGAGATCGAGCTCGCTGTCCTGCGCTCCTGCGACCTCGGCCAGGGCGGCGACTCGGACAGCGACTGCGAGTCCGCCTCTGGCTCAGCAGGCCCAGACCCTGTCAGCGCGGTCAGCGGCGGAGGGTTCGACGGCGTCGAGGAGGTAGCCGAGTCCCTGCAACCCCTGGGCCTGAGCGGGGTGGGTTACGCGGGGCTGCCTGCGGACGCTGAAGGTCAGCGGGCTTTGCTTCGCGGTCGAGCCCGCAGACCACCTGCGCCAGAGGAGGGGCCGTCGGGCGTCGAGCTCGGGGGCAGCAGCGACGCCAGACATCCCGCGCCGCCGCCTGGGCCGCCACCCAAGGCTCGCAGGCGCCGAGGCGCCCCCGGGCTCCGCCCGCTTGTCGCCCGACCCGGTCGCGGGCCACGGCGTGCCCGGTAACGTAGGATCGGGTCGAGAGGTCCGAGGCGCGCCGATCGTCGGCGGCGCGCGCCGCGCACCAGGGCTGGGCGTCGTGGCGCTGCTCGGCCCGCTCCTCGCTCCTCGCGCCCCCCCCTGCCGCTGTGCGCTCGCCTGCAAGGGGGGGCCGGCCCTCGATCCGACCTCGCTGAGACGGTCGGCCCCCCGGGCGAGGCCGCCTCAGCACAGCGCGCGCATGGCTGCGCTCGGGGCCCGGGTCAGACGCTCTTCCCTGCCGCCCCGGCGCTCGAGCAGCGCGCGAGGGCTGAGGTGGCGCGCGCCAAGCGGGGGGGCCGCGACGGCGGTGTATTCCTGGAACTTTGGGCGGGCGGCAAGCGGATGGCCGGCCGCGTGCGGCTTCTGGGCGGTGCCGGAGTCGCCCTGGAGATTGCCGATTGCCCGCTGCAGGGTGCGAGCTTCTCAGGCGCCCGCGCCCCCCTGCTGGCGCGGTTCCGCCAGGGGCTCATTGGCGGCGCGTGGCTCGGGGCGCCGTGCCCCGCCTGGAGCGCCGCGGGGCGTGGGCAGCCAGGGCGACCTGGAGGGCCGCTTCGAGCGCCAGACTGCCTCTGGGGACATCCCGACGCCATGCGGCGGCCAGCCGACCAAGCCAGAATTCAGGTCGGCAGTTCAGCGGCAAAGTTCGCCCTGGCCATCGTCCTGCGTCTCGTGCCGCGTGGCGGCGATTCTCGAGAATCCCGCCGGCTCCATGCTGTGGGCGCTCCCGCGGCTGAGCTCGCTCTGCCGCAAGGCCCGCGGCGCACAGGTCATCCTGGACTACTGCCAGTGCGGTGCCACCTTCCGCAGGCGGGCCCGGTTGCAGGGCTGGCGCGCCAACGACCTCGGAGTGCTGAAGCGAATGCGCCGTGACAGAGGAGGTCTCTGCTCTCGGGCCGACCGCCCCCGCGTGGTGCTGGAGGGCTCCAAGCTGACGAGTGCCGCCGCTGCATCTGTCCCGGGCTTCGCGATGCATGGCGCCAGAGTGCTGTTCGAATCTGTGCAGAACGCAAACTTGGAGCTAATGTGGAATGTAGTTTCATCCTGGAATGTCGGGCGGCCTTCGGCCAGTTCGTAGTATGCGTGTGCTGGATTGGCTGCGCTGTTCAGTTACTTCGTTCGCCGCGTTTTGGGCGCCCGCCTGGTGCCGTTGGCGTCGGGAAAAGAACGCGCCCTGGTGGCCCAACAGCCTCACGGAGGATAGGAGTTCTTTAGGAAATGCGAGAGGGTCTCCGCCATAGGTCAAGTCGGGTGGGCCGCATCCGTGCCGATGCCTCCTGTGCTCAAGTCGCTCCCTGCCCTCCCTCCCCTCCTTTTCGCCTTTTAACTGTCGGCCTTTCGGCGGATTGGCGACGCTGTTCAGTTACTTCGTGCGCCACGTTTTGGGCGCCCGCCTGGTGCTGTTGGCGTCGGGGCAGATCAGTTTCGCACAGAAAAAGACGTGCCCTGGTGACCCAACGGCCTCACGGAGGATCGATTTCATTGTCGATCTCACTCAACGGGACACCGCGGGACACCACGGGACACCACGGGACACCGCGGGACACCGCGAACCACCGCCGGACGGGCAGGCGGGGGATAATCATGTGTCTTGACTTCGGACACCACGGGACACCGCGAGCCACCGCCGGACGGGCGGGAGGGGGATAATTATTTGTCGTGACTTCGCCTTAGCAGCGGCGGACACCACGGGACACCATGGGACACCACTGGACACCGCGGGACAGCGGGGGCCTCCGCCGGACGGGCGGGAGGGGCATAATCATTTGTCTTGATTTTGCCCCAGCAACGGCGGGTTCATTCCTCTCGCGCGCCCACGCTGCTTCGCTTCGCCAGCACGCACGACACGAACGAAACGAAACGATTTGGGTGTCTCTGTTCCATTGCGATCTCACCCCCCAACCCCCGATTACTATTGATAATAAGTGGAGGAGGAGGAGGAGGAGGAGGAGGAGGAGGAGGAGGAGGAGGAGGAGGAGGAGGAAAATACCTATACGACCACCCTTCGGGTGATAAGGAGGTTGTGGGGGGGGGAAAGGGGGGGGGAACCAGCATCAGATCCAATCGATCTCACTATCGATCTCACTCAACGGGACACCACGGGACACCACGGGACACCACGGGACACCACGGGACACTTGTCGATCTCACTATCGATCTCACTATCGATCTCACTCAACGGGACACCGCGGGACACCACGGGCCACCACGGGACACCACGGAACACCGCGGGACACCTCTCGATCTCACTATCGATCTCATTATCGATCTCACTATCGATCTCACTCAACGGGACACCATAGGACACCACGGGACACCACGGGACACCTCGGGACACCACATCGACCTCAGTATCGATCTCACTATCGATCTCAATGTCGATCTCACTCAACGGGACACCACGGGACACCACGGGACACCACGGGACACCTGTCGATCTCGCTATCGATCTCACCATCGATCTCCTTTTTTTGGGACACCGCGGGACACCACGGGACACGTCGGGGCATCACATCGATCTCCGTATCGATCGCACTATCGATCTCACCATCGATCTCATTTTCGATTTTACTATCGATCTCACTATCGATCTTACTCAACGGGACACTACGGGACACCACGGGACACCACGGGACACATGTCGATCACACTATGGATCTCACTACCGATCTCACTCAACAGGACACCACGGGACACCACGGGACACTTCGGGGCACCACATCGATCTCAACATCGATATTTTTATCGGTCTCAGTATCGATCTTACTATCGATCTCACTATCGATCTCACTCAACGGGGCACCACGGGACACCACGGGACACCACGGGACACCACGGGACACCACGGGACACCGCGGGCCACCGCCCGACGGACGGACGGACGGAGGAGCCACATTTGTTTTGACTTCGCCTTAGCAGTGGCGGGTTCATTCCTCTCGCGCGCCCACGCAGCTTCGCGTCGCCCGCACGCACGACACGAACGAAACGAAACGATTTCCGGGTTGGGTGTCTCCGTTCCATTGTGATCCCACCCCCAATTTCCGATGAACAATAATAATACTATTAGTAAAAAGGAGGAGCAGTCATAACAAATAAGAATATTATTAACACGCATCATACATGAAGTAATAGTAAATATACCTATACGACCATCCATCGGGTGATAAGGAGGTTGTGGGGGGGGGGGAGGGGGGGGAACCACAATCTGCCGCAATCGATCTCACTATCGATCTCACTCAACGGGACACCACGGGACACCACTGGACACCACGGGACACCGCGGGACACTTGTCGATCTCACTATCGATCTCACTATCGATCTCACTCAACGGGACACCGCGGGACACCACGGGCCACCACGGGACACCACGGAACACCGCGGGACTCCTCTCGATCTCACGATCGATCTCATTATCGATCTCACTATCGATCTCACTCAACGGGACACCATAGGACAACACGGGATACCACGGGACACCTCGGGACACCACATCGATCTCTTGATCGATCTCATTATCGGTCTCATTATCGATCTCACTCAACGCGACACACGACGGGACTCCACGGGACACCACGGGATACTTGTCGATCTCCTTATCTATCTCACTGTTGATCACATTTTTTGGGACACCACGAGACACCACGGAACACCTCAAGGCACCACATCGATCTCAGTATCGATCTTACTATCGATCTCACTATCGATTTCACTCAACGGGACACCATGGGACACCACGGGACACCTATCGATCTCAATATCGATCTCACTATCGATCTCACTTTTTGGGACACCGCGGGACACCACGGGACACCTCGGGGCACCACATCGATCTCACTATCGATGTCACTAACGATCTTACTATCGATCTCACGATTGATCTCAGTCAACGGGACACAACGGGACACCACGGGACACCACGGGACACCACGGGACACCACGGAACACCACGGGACACCACGGGACACGTATAGATCTCACTATCGATCGCACTATCGATCTCACTCAACGGGACACCACGGGACATCACGGGCCACCACGGGTCACCCGGGACACCGCCCGGCCCAACCAGCCACCGGCGGACGGGGAGGGACACCACGGGACACCACGGGCCACCACGGGACACCCGGGACACCGCCTGGCCCAACCAGCCACCGGTGGACGGGCAACGGACTTTCGCTACAGGATGATCACGCGCAGCTTCGCCTCGCCCGCACGCACGACGCGAACACGAAACCGAAACCGATTTCCCGGTGGGGGGTCTCCGTTTCACTGCGATCTCACCCCCCGATTTCCGAGTATTGATAATGATGAGAATAGTATTAATAATCAGAATACGAACACGATCAACATATAAATAATCATGCTATTATGACCAATATGAGTAGTAATAATAGAAATGCCTATACGACCACCCTTCGGGTGATAAGGAGGTCGTGTGGGGAGGGGAGAGAAGGGGGAAACCAACATCTGACTCGATCGATCTCACTATCGATCTCACTCAACGGGACACCACGGGACACCACGGGACACCACGGGACACTTGTCGATCTCACTGTCGATCTCACTATCGATCTCACTCAACGGGACACCACTGGCCACCACGGGCCACCACGGGACACCACGGGACTCCGCGGGACACCACATCGATCTCACTATCGATCTCACCATCGATCTCACTATCGATCTCACTCAACGGGACACCACGGGACACCTCGGGACACCTGCCGATCTCACTACGGTAGGTTCGCGTCGTGTCGACCGGCGGCGACCCCGCCGCCGGCGTTCAACGTTGAACGCCGGCGGCGGCCCAGAATCGATCGATGTTGAACGATTGGACGTTGCGGAAACGGCCGATCGTTCAAGGTTGAATGATCCCCGCGGCGTCAAAAACCAACGCCGGGGTCGACACGACACGAACCTGCCGTATCGATCTCACTATCGATCTCACTTTTTGGGACACCGCGGGACACCACGGGACACCTCGGGGCCCCATATCGATCTCACTATCGATGTCACTAACGATCACACTCAACGGGACACCACGGGACACCACGGGACACCTGTCGATCTCGCTACCGATCTCACTATTGATCTCAGTCAACGGGACACCACGGGACACCACGGGACACCTCGGGTATCGATCTCACTATCGATCTCACTGTCGATCTCACCCAACGGGACACCACGGGACACCACGGGACACCACGGGACACCGCCGGGACACCGCCGGGCCTCACCAGCCACTGGCGGACGGGACACCACGGGACACCACGGGACACCGGCGGGACACCGCGGGCCCAGTCCCAGCCACCGGCGGACGGGCGGACGGACTTTCGCTCCTACTTTGGCCTAGCTACAGGAGGATCACGCGCAGCTTCGCCTCGCCCGCACGCACGACTCGAACACGAAACCGAAACCGATTTCCCGGTGGGGGGTCCCCGTTTCACTGCGATCTCACCCCCAATTTCCGACTATTAAGAAGAACCATCATAATATTGTTTATATCAAGAACGGTACTAATACTATCAATAACAAGCTAACTGGTACTGATAATAATAATCATGATAAAAAAATGTATACGTAATTTTAATTGTACGAATGATGTTACCACAACTAATAATAATCTTTACCTAGATAGTACCAATACTACTACGAGTAAAAATGCTACTCAGAATGCTACTGCTAATGCTAATGATATCAGCCATACTGGTAATAGCAATGCTAACAATATTAATACGCACAATAATATTATTCATAACGGTACTAATATATCATTCAGAATACTAATGCTACTGCAAGTAATATTCATCATAGTAACAGTCGTAAGTATGATGATGATTACACTCGTAATAATACTAATAAGTATGATCATGATAATAGAAGTGGTGATGCTGACGATGATGCTAATACTAATCATAATGATGCGAATGCTACTTCTGCTGCTACTACTACTACTAATAATCATCGTTTAGCTGATACTGATATTATTACTACTACTACTACGACTACTATGATTACTCCCACTACTACTACTACTACTACTACTACTACTACTACTAGTACTAGTAGTACTACTACTACCACCACCACTACTACTACTACTACTACTACTACTACTACTACTACTACTACTAGTACTAGTACTAGTACTACTACTACTACTACTACTACTGCTGCTGCTGCTGCTGCTGCTGCTACTACTACTACTACTACTACTACTACTACTGCTGCTGCTGCTGCTACTACTACTACTACTACTACTTTTCTACTACTACTACTACTACTACTACTACTACTACTACTACTACTACTACTACTACTACTACTACTACTACTACTACTACTACTACTACTACTACTACTGCTGCTGCTGCTGCTACTACTACTACTACTACTACTATTACGACTAATATTAATACTATTAATCATACCAGTAATCACGACAATACTAATACTAATGCTAATCTAGGTGCTACTACTAATAATACTAGACTGATAGTAAGACGAATCATGCTACTAGTAAGAGTATCAATCTTATATACGAATAATAACGGCAAGTTGAGGAGGAGGAGGAAAAGGAGGAGGAGGAGGAGGAGGAGGAGGAGGAGGAGGAGGTAAGGGAGGAGGAGGTAAGGGAGGAGGAGGTAAGGGAGAGGGGGAGGTGAGGAGGAGGAGGAGGAGGAGGGAGGAGGAGGAAGAAGAGGAGGAGGGAGGTAAGGGAGGAGGAGGTAAGGAGGAGGAGGAGGGTAAGGGAGGAGGAGGTAAGGGAGGAGGAGGTAAAGTGAGGAGGAGGTAAGGGAGGAGGAGGAGGAGGAGGAGGAGGAGGAGGAGGAGGAGGAGGAGGAGGAGGAGGAGGAGGAGGAGGAGGAGGAGGAGGAGGAGGAAAAGGAGGAGGAGGAGGAGGAGGAGGAGGAGGAGGAGAGGAGCCAGTCTGCGCCTGTCGCTGTTTTCGCATCAGCGACCACCCCGTGCACTCGACCCGGCCTTTGCACTGCCAGCGCTGCTCGGGCCGTAGAGGCGCCGCAGCCCCCCGCCTCGGCAGAGGCACCCGCCCGGGCGCCTGCTGCTGCTGAGCCGCAGCCCTTCGTGCTGGCCCGCCGCCGGCATTTTGTGCTTAAGTCGGAAAGAGCGCGTTCTCTGGTCGCTTGGAGGGGGCTTGGAGGGGGGGGGGGTTGGAACCAGACCCCCCCCCCTGGATGGAGGGGGGGGGGTCGAACCCCCCCCCTCCCCTACTTCTCCTCTCTCCTTCTCCTCGGGGGGCTGGCGCCGACGTCGGCGGCGGCTGGCGGCGGCGGCGGGGGTGCTGGTGGTGGTGGTAGTGGCGGTGATGGTGGTGGTGGTGGTGGTGGTAGTGGTGGTGAGGTGGTTTGTGGTGGTTGTGCTGGTGGTGGTGGTGGGTTGTGCTGCTGGTAGTAGTGGTGGAGGTTGTGGCGGTGGTGGTGGTGGTGGTGTTGTAGATTGTGGTGATGGTGGTGGTAGTGGTGGTGGGTTGTTGTATTGGTGGTGGTGCTGGTGGTGGTGAGCTGTTGTGGTGGTGGTGGTGGTGGTGTCTGTGGTGTTGGTGGCTGTGTTGTGGTTTGGTGGTGGTGGTGGTGGTGGTGGGTTGAGGTGGTGATGGTGGTGGTCGTGGTGGTGGCGGTGGTGGTGGTGGTGGTGGCGTGGTGGTTTTGTGGTGGTGGTGGTGGTGGTGGGCTGTGGTGTTGGTGGTGATGGTGCTGCTGCTGGTAGTGGTGCTGGTGGTGGCGGTGGGTGGTGGGTGGTGGGTGGTGGTGGTGCTGGTGGTGGTGGTTGTGGTGGTTGTGGTGGTGGTGTGGTGGTGTGGTGGTTTGTGGTGGTGTTGGTGGTGGGTTGTGGTGATGGTGGTGGTTGTGGCGGTGGTGGTGATGGTGGTTGTAATGGTGTGGTGGTTTGTGGTGGTGGTGGTGGTGGTTGTGGCGGGTTGTGGTGTGTTGTGGTGGTGGTGGTGGTGGCGTTTTGGGTGGTGGTGGTGGTGAAGTGGTTTGTGGTGATGGTGGTGGCTGTGGTGATCGTGTGTTGTGGTGGTTGTGGTGGTGGTTGTGGTGGTGGCGGTGGTGGTGGTGGTGGTATGGTGGTCTGTGGTGGCGGTGGTGGTGGTGGTGGTGGTGTGGCCTTCGGCTCTTCCCGCCACTGTGTTTTAGGGTCAGAGTTCTAATGGATGCCTCTTGAGGTCTCGTCAGAAGGGTTTCGGGGGCGTCTGAGGAGCATGGGAGGGCTCGATATGGCGATTTGTGTGTTCCCTCTGCGGCCTCTGGGCCCTCTCTGGTCATCGTCGCTGCGTCCCCGCCGTTGGCGCTGCTGGCCGCCGCCAGCGCCGGCGCCAGCGCCGGCGCGGGGGGGTTTGAACCCCTCCCCCTCCTGGGGCCTCTCTGGTCATCGTCGCTGCGTTGGCGCTGCGGCGGCCGTCAGCGCCGGGCGCTGGCGCGGGGGGGGGGATGGGGTTTGAACCCCCCCCCCTTGGAAGGGGGGGGGGTTCAGGAGGGGGGGGTTAGGGGGGAGGGGAGTCCCCCTGGTTCTGATCGACGGCGCCGAGTGTTGGTGGGGGCCCACCCCCCGGTTCGAAACGCGCTGCCGAATGATCCCAGGGCAAGCGCCCGTGAAACGCGCTCTCTCTTAAGTCGGACATGTCCCTCTACAGGAGGAGTATTCAAAAATAGTCGAAAATAGGTGAAGGGCGATTCTTCGACTGTTCGGGAGTATTTTGGAGCATTCTTCGACTATTTTTAAATTTTTCTTACAAAATCCGCCTGTAGGAGGACATGCCCGACCTAACTCTGTGCCCTGGTCGCAGCGACGGGCATTCCCGTAACTACAGCTTCATGTCCCGAAGAAGGACAAAACAGCATTAGCATAAGCTTTCGATGGTTCGCGCGGATTGGGTTGCATCGGCGCGGGGCCCCCCTTTCTCCCCCATCCCCCTCGCTCTCGTCCTTACGGAAAGCTCTGTTGTCCCTTTCGCGTTTCCTCGGGTTTCACATCGGTGAAGGGCGTCGGCGTTTGAAGCGGGACTCGGTGGGGTCGCCAGCTTATCGTTGCGATCGAGTGCGTTTTCACAGTCCATGTTCAGAGCGGAAGAGTAAAGACGGCGAAACGGTTCGCGAAGGCTCCAAGCATGAAAGTACCCCGTCGCCTGCCAGGATGCGATCCACGTGGGGAGCCTCATGCACGAGGTCGGTCACGTTGAGCAGCAGCGGCAGGACCTAGCGGCGGGGTTGCCGTGGGCTCCACGAAGCAGCGCGCATGCCATGGCCACAGGAGCCGCGTGACAGATTGTTGGGCGGACGGCATTCTCCCTGCCGCGTTCAAAGTCGAGCGCCCGACGGTGGGCCGTTGGTGGTTTTCGTGGTGTGGTGCTGTGGTGGACTGCTGGTGGTGGGGATGGTCGTCGAGGTGGTGGTGGCGATGAGCGTAATGCCCATCTCGGTGAGTGCAGCTACAGGGGTACAGACTTGCAGGGGCAATAATCAGAAGCCGCGCGGCGGGGAAGCGTTGGGCAGCGCACGGCGGAGAAGAAGGAAAGTGACGGGGCAGGTAAGGAGTATGGCCACGCCAGGATAATGAAAGGTCCTGAGAGGCTCCTAGGACGCCCCTGGAGGCCATCAAGAGGCTCCCAAGAAGCCCCGTGAGGCTGCCAAGAGGCCCCCTGGAAGCCCCAATAGGCCCCCAAGGGACCCCCAGGGAAGCCCCCTGCGGGCCCCCAAGACACTTCGGGAAATCGTATTTCCCAGATAGCTTTCTGGGAACATGATTCCTTGGGCTTCCGCCCACCGCCCCAACCATGTTTCCAATAGGCTTGCCGACAAGACCAAAAGGCGCCCCTCGGTAAGCCCCCAGAGGCCCCCCTCTTAGAGAGCCGAACAAATCATGCTCCCGGAAAGCTTCCCGGGAACATGATTCTCTATCTCGGAGTAGGCCCGGGGGAGGGGGGGGGGGCGGGCCGCTGCCTGTTCCCCCCATCGGTACCCACCAGGGGTTGCGGGGGGGGGGTCCAGAGCTCCCGAGGCGGCCCGAGCCCGCCCCGAAGCAGGCCACGACAGGCTAAGGGGGTCCCGCGAGGACCCAAGACGGTCCCACGAGGCCC